AATAAAAAGAACCATTTCTAAGCATAAATTATTTCCAGGAACAGAATGGTTACCAAACGCACCATAAAGATGATTCCAAATGAATCTAAGTGGCTTGTTGTGCATGTATCATCTTAATTAATGTTTTGCATTGTTTTTATCTCTTTGAATTTTACTTCCTAATGCATCTGATTATCCATGATGCACGAGGACATAGGATCCCACATAAATTTCAACGATCGATTTTTATACGTCGTTTACGTTATACAAAAGCAGATGGGGATATTACAACGTTGTAGGAAAGAATACTGCAACTTCCAATTTGATTTGTTAGGATAGGTTGGCATTACACGCAATAGCAATTTATAGGGTAAGATATGTTGAACGGCTGGGATGTGTTGCATTTCAATTCAACAGTAAAAGATTATAAAGGTATCGTATCCAAAGAAAACAAGGAAAACTATAGCTTCACCCCCTCATCTGTATGCCATATTTGAAAAATGAAGGAGGTGACCTTAAATAATTCAATTTAGTCTACTCCTGTTTCCTTCGTACAAAAATTCCTTATCCATCGTTTATTATGCAAGTCCTGAAGCTCCAAATAAATGGGGTAACCCTTCCATGCTATTCTCAACCTTATGATTGCCCAGATCCCCATATAACTACAGGTCCACCAAAATAAGGTTTACTTAACCTCAGCTTATCATGCAAAGTACTACGTAGTTCCATCCCATAACAGATAGCATGATGGCTAAGGAGATCAATGACCCTTTTGGCTGTCTATTTGGGGATAGGAAATTTGTTGGGTCCAGATTTATTGGTAATTTGGGATCTATTATCAGTATTTGGTGGTCTTGAGCCTCTCTCATTCTAAAAACTAACTCACAGGGTGAAACTTTTCCTCACACTTATAAACTGACCACTCGCCCTTTCCACAATTTATGTAGGATAAACCCCAACAATCGAATGTTGGAGTATGGTTCATACTCCCCATCAATAAAAAAGTACAAAAGTCGTGCTCCCCAATGAGCAGGCACGGGTTCGAGGGGCCGCCCCTATGACATCCAGAAATTTCGTAACAATAAGTAATTGACGTTGGGAATTTTCTATGTTCGAAGATGATATTTGGATTATATATTCGTGCGGACGCGTAAAAATCGTTGTTAGATTGTAAATCGCGAAGCGCGGTTTCGGAAACGTAATCGCCCCGAGCTCGTCGTAACTAAAATCTTAAACGTTGTTGTGTGCAATAATCGTAGTGCGGTATTAATTAATTTACCGTTGTTTTGGGAATTTAGTGGGTATTATTATTATTGGTTAATTTTGGTTAAGTAGTGTTATTCTTTTATTCTAATTTGCCGTTAAGGAAATGGGGGAGATATTCTCTCAAAATATCTCTTCTGGACTTTTCTTCTCTCACTTGGCTATTGAAGGAGAAGTTGACCGAATACCATTTGTCCCCTTTAAGCCAGCTTCTGTCTAGCTAGACACCTAGCCTAAGTAATTATTTTCCTTGGCCACCACTCTTTTCTTGATTTCTTACACCTGGCCATGATGGAAAGAGAAGATGCCACCTGTGAGTGCATTGTAATTATCCACCCCTTCGTCTATTACTCTGTTTCATTTATCTGGGTATCACCGAAGGAAAATTTTACCAAATCGTAACTCCCTTCTCCACTTTTTACTTTCACCATCACCGATCCAGAATTTCCGAGAGAGACTTAACTTTTGGATGTTCAAATTTTGCACAAGGTAAGTGAAAACTCTAGATTTAAGCTAAGTAAATCTATTGACACTTTTAACTTGGTTGCTTGAGAAAGGTTATTTTGATGTGCAATAGTGAGGTTGTGATGATGGTTGAATCTGTTTTGCTAGTTTTGCGCATGTTCAAATGGATGTGATTTGTTTCCTTAAAGTATGGTGAAAATCGGCAAGTGAAACGATTAAATCTGAACGTGTGAGTGTTATCTTTGAGGTGATTGTTGGATTCTTCTTATTGGTTTATGTATGTTTAAAAAGGGTAGAAAATCGTTTTACTGAAAGTGGAGTATATTATGTGAGTATGAATGATAATTCTGTATATCTTTGAAACTGCTTAGACTTTACTGTCAAAATCTGGTTCTGGGTATCTTTGAAACTGCTCAGACTTTATTGTCAAAAATCTGATTTCGTATACTTTTTAAACTGTTCAGACTTTATCTTCAGACTTTACTCTCAGACTTTTCGTTCAAACTTTACTACTCAGACCTTATTTTCTGAATCTGAATGTGCTTCTGAGTCTGAACCCACTTCTGAGTATGAATTCGCTTATAAGTCTGAACCCGCTTCTGAATCTGAATTTGCTTCTGATGACCGAACCGATTTTGCTTCTGAACTTCCTTCTGAGTCTGAACTTGGTTCTGATGACTCGAATTTTCTTCTGATGACCGAATTTGCTTCTGAACCCGAATTAGCTTATGAGTTGAGTTTGCTTCTGAGTTTGAAATGTATTGCTTCATATTTAATTGCTCGGATGATGCATTTCATGATTTTAAAGTACAAAACCGTGATGGCTCGGTATGGGACGGGCCAAAGCGGACTTTTGCATGCAAATACATGGTTGTCATGGCTTGCATGAGAATAATATTAATTTCGTCGCCCATTTAGTGGTGTGTGACGATGCCCTGCGTGTCGGGATGCCCCGTAGGTCGGGATGCCCCGGGGAGTGTTTCGGGATGCCTCGGGAGTCGAGATGTCCCGTTGGTCGGGATGCCCCGGGTGTGTGCCGGGATGCCTCGGAGTTGAGATGCCTCGTTGGTCGGGATGCCCCGGGAGTGTTTGGGAGGATGAAGTAATGAACCTAATCGTGCGAGCATAAATGTTTTACAATATGCTTGTGGTTGAGTGAAAGTATTGTGAAATGTTGCATTGCTCAGACTTTGTGGCATATCCAGACGGTAAAGGTATAACATGCATTCGAATTCTATGCATACTGTTTATTATGCATGTATGTGATTTATGCCAGGTGAAGTGGTAAGCTGATTTTCCTAACTTAAAACTAGAGACTTCATTTACTGGGCCTCGGCTCATCCCATTATTTTTCAGACATGTAGGAATGGACAATCTGCTACCAATGCTTGATGGTTTTTCCCTAAATACTATGAATGCCAGTACGTTGATATGCTTGTCCCGAGGGCGGATATAGTTTGTACTAGATGTATATCTACTATATGGGTTGATGTGGGATTTTGGTTGATATGAAGGTGACGACATTTACGACTCATTGTAAAGTCTACTTTTGTGCGGGCCGTCTTTGGAGTAAATTGTAGCATGTAGATAGGCAACCTCGACCTACCCAGATGTTTGTTCTTTGTGATTTTATGATGTATTGTCTGGACTTGTAATTCTCACAAGTGTTGTTAATGAGAAGCAAAAGTATTTTGACAAAACTTGTTCAGACTTTGACTTCCGCTAGCCAATTTATTAATAATATTAATTGGTACGTGTTATGTGTGACGTTCTGGGGCGTCACAGCCCCGGTGGGGGGGGGGGGGGGGGGTTGTAGGGGCAACACATCGCGACCCCAGAGGGCTTTTATTATTTGGGCCGGTAGTTTATTGGTAATTGAGTTTGGGCTCATAAATAGCAATTGAGTATATATAATATCTTTGTTTTTTTATAATTGACAGTTGCAATAGAGAGTTGTGACGTGGTAATTATAGTTGAATCTTCCACTGGATGTAGCCCTAGTTTAAGGATAAGCTGGGATAAAATCTTGTGTCTCGATTTCTCTTTCTCACCTTTTTTACTCTTTATTTTTTTTTTGTTTATGCGCCTAATCATAACAAGACTTTTATTGCATAATGACGGTGATGATGATTGTTGCTATATTTGGTGGGAATGGTGGTTGTAGCCTTAATGTCAATGGTTGCTTCAAGAATATATTGAAAAGTGCCACTAAAGTCCCTCATCAGATGGTTGATTGGTCATTTTCATAATGGACAATCTGTCATGATTTATCCAGCTAATCAAAGGTTGCTCTTTTGCATCAGACCTTTCAAATGAATCAGAAGCGAACTAATAAAGAACAGCCCACTTAGGCACATGTTATCTTTAATCCTCTCTTATTGTTAGGTCGTGGATATTTGGTAGTCGAAGAGAATCCTCCATTAGGTATGGATGCCCACATTTTTGTCCGACACGCATCACATAATTTTGCAAAGTAATTTGGTCTTGAAGACTTATCTGCAATAAGCTCTAGCTCTCAGAACTTTATTGTTCCACGGTAGTTTCTTTAATGTATGGCATCCGTTAATCTCTTCTTCTGGTGCCCTGCAAGCTGCATCTGCAAGTGCAGTTTCCTGTGTGCTCTCTACCAAACAACGACGGAAGCAGCTAAAATTTTGCCCCGTAGATTTTTTTTTTTTTCCTTGAAGTGACTTCGACCATTTTTGCATAAGTTGGTTGGCAAGTCGCATAAGGGGATTATCCAACACACTTTAGGTAAGGACAGACAAGCGTTTTGGGCCTTAAATTATTGCTCCATCTGCTTTGAAACTTGGAAGAAAGTACAGAGCTTGAGATCAAGAACAATGATTGAAGCTTCTCAACAGAGGGTAGACCCCTCTCATTGTCTTATCCGAAAGCTATGTACTAACCAGAAATTAAGCGAAGATGCTCAAGGTTATGGTTAGTAATGACTTCATTGTTTTTCTGCTAGACAGTCGATAATTGCATCATTATTGATGCTATTTAGTAAGCTAAAATTGACCATTCTTTTTCCGTAATATACTTTTTGAACCAAAAAAGTTAAAAAGATTCACTTTTACTCTTATACTCAGGAAAGATTACATCCTTACCATGGGATAACTGCAAGAATGAAGTTGGATATATCAAATTAAGTAATATAACAAACTGCAGATAGCAATATACATAAGTCACCGTACTAACACCCTATAAGAGTTTGTTGCATCATCTGGTAATCGATCTAAGGTGCTGTGATAACAATAAATTTAGGAACTTTAGCGGTTACCCATGTAGAAATAAAGCTCCTGCCGATTGGAAGTTGGCAAATGCACCTTGTGATTCTTCTCCCACCCGCACACTCCATTACAAATTCACAGAGAGAGAGAGAGAGAGAGAGAGAGAGAGAGAGAGAGAGAGAGAGAGAGAGATTGTTTTACTTGGATCAGAAGTGACTTCTCAACCACACCAGAACACTCCCCCACACAACTCCTCATCACTGGGACACCCATCTCCTTCCAGCATTTCTTTCGTTTGAACAGTTCTCTCTTGTTTCTATACCTTAGATTCATCCCAACAGTTGTGAGAGACGTCGGCATATTTTTCAGGGGTCCCGCACTCCAAACGCATCAAATCCCCTCGCTTGCTTCTCATTCTTCCTTGTTCTCTCACACTTCGTCACCATTCCACTCTGCTTGTCGGAGTTCGCTGCAAAATTGTGCAGTCGAAGTGAAATGCTGTGATTCTTTGAGCTCTTTCAGGATAGTAAATAGTGCCTCTCTAATGTCTATGGACTCCAGAACTCATCTGGACTATGTCCTGTTTCAGCTCACTCCTACAAGAACCAGGTAATTTTGCCTACCCATTGGTCTGATGTTCATGGATGCTGAACCTTTAAACGAATTGAATCTTTTGCAGTTCAACGATGTCGAAAATGAGCAATCTTTGATGGTGGGCTTTTGTCTGCATTGCGATTGCATGCATGAGTTTCATCTGGGTAGTGAAATTATGGTCCCTTTTCGTATTTGATTGACTCTGTCGTGTGCTTTTATGTGTATACGAATGGAAGGTGTGATCTGGTGATTTATGCCGGTAAGGTGAATGAGAAGTTGGCATCGGGATTACTTGAACCATTCCTTTCGCATCTTAAATCCGCGAAAGATCAGATATCTAAAGGTGGCTACTCCATCACTCTAAGATCAGATGCTTCCTGGTTCACTAAAGCCACTCTGGAGAGGTAATCTAGCAAGTATCCACACTTTCGATGGCTTCAAGTAAACTGTGCCTGCATTGAATTGCATTTGATTTCCTTACTATTTGCAAAATCTAGAAGTTTTTTCTAAGAATGCTATACACTGTGGAATGTGTCTAGGAGATCAATCGAAAGGGCAAAAAAGGATTAATATGTGAATGCCGTTACACCTGATCGTTGATTATGGATTAGTTTACCTATTGATTAGATACTATATAGGAAAACATGCTCTGGTTGTAATCAATGTCTAATGTACTGCATTTTCTCTCTGTTTTTCTTTTCCTGGCTTCCTCCAGCTTTGTAAGGTTTGTTACCACCCCTGAAGTTCTAGAGAGATTTGTCACATTAGAGAGGGAGATTGCCCAGATACAAGAATCAATCCAATCCAATGAAGCTCAGAACATTGATATGGCAATGGAAGGTAGGGTCAGTATTACATGCTTGAGCGACTTGGCTGTGGGTAGGACTTTCCGAAGTTACATAGAAAATTTAGTTGACCTGCTTGGTGCTGACTGCGAGCTGGTTTTTCAGAAAAAAAAAGAGCAATTTAATTGCCTTGCATTGAACTTTTTTGTGGAAAGCACACAAAGTTTTCTTAATTAAACTTCGCCTTAATGAACTGTATATTGATTTTGGCATTTAATTTATTCTTAGACACTAATAAGCTGAAAGCTCTGTACTCTCTTTTGACAGGAAATGCATCAGTTTCTGAGGGAAATTTCACAAAGTCATCCATGTCCTATAAGGTATGTGAACGTTCATGCAAATAATGGGATATCGCGCAGTAACATCAGATTATGATGGTGGACATCTGTGTTGTGATGTTGCTTCTCAGTCCAAAGCTAAATATGATGGAGCTGATGATGCCGTCACTGCCTTGGAAGAAAATTCCAAGTAAACTACCTTGTCAATAGTATTTGATCAAAGTGTAGTCCAATTAGAGATGCATCTCCGAGCTCATTGCCTTTTTTACTCTGGATGGTGACAGGGTCCATCTTCAGCGAGTTCTGGAGACTCGAAAGGCAGTGCTTCGGAAGGAGCAAGCAATGGCTTATGCTCGTGCTCTGGTTGCTGGGTTTGAATTGGAGCATATAGATAATCTTATATATTTTGCCGATGCCTTTGGAGCTTTGCGTTTGAGGTATGGGTGAAAAGAGGAGTCTGTTATCTGCAAAAAGTAAATGAAGATGTCAATTTTACCCTAGTGATTCGATTGAAGAAGGCATTTTATCTGAGATATGGGGACATTAAAATCACTGCGGTGCAATGTGGTGCCAAATTATGAAAACTAGAGACTGCTTTTCTTTCAGTGCTTTTGTCGGAAGTTATATTGCTTGCAACAAGGTATGGCATCATTGAGATTAAGTCTGTTGAACTTGAATTTCACAAATAATTCTTCCTTTTTTCCAGAATTACATTAATAGAATAAAATGAGGAACACATGACTTCTTTATCAGTAAATTGATCACCTTATTGTTTCCATAAAAAAGGAGGTTACATATGTTGCAGCCTGTAATTGTTCAAACAGCACATTCCACTCTCATTCTCCAATTTGAGTATGTTCTGTCTTTGTGATGTTAATCTAGATTCCTTTTTAGGGAGGCATGCATAAATTTCATGCATTTATGCAAGGAAAAGAATGAAGATAGGCTTTGGATGGATGAGATAGCAGCAATGCAGGCACTATCCAGGCCAGATTTGCCTTACTTGGCAACTTCTGGAATCGTTCTTGCCGGCGAGGAGAACGGCCCTGGTAGCGTTCAGGATAATGGTCCATTTAGTGGGAAAACCAATGGCCACACAGAATTCAATGTTACAGAGTCGAGTGCAGGTAGACAAGTTAGGGAATATAAACATGATATTCGACTTCAGATGTTTCACTTGTCATGATACGTTTCACCTGCCATGTGATGCACAAGAAATTTGTCAAAAAAATTTAAGAGTCAGTGACATGCATGTTCTTTCACTGTCTGCTGTTGTGCTTTTGCTGCATAGAATATCTTGAAGAAAATGATTGCAACTTTTGAGCTTGTTCTGATGACAAACATGTTCTTTAGTGGTTCAACTTCTCCTCTTCTGGTCACCTTCTCCCTTTCATGCAACACACGGATGGAAGTGCACACACAAGGTTTAATACCTTAGTGCTTTCTTGGCAGATATCTCCAAAAAATCTAAGAACAGATCACTTGTCATAGTCTCGGTTTCATGGATTCTGCATTTCTCTTGATCTTTGTTTGGAAAAAAATTTTGCATCCTAATGCTGATTAATGTTTGGTGCAGATACTAGGTTGCCGACGACAGCACCAATGCCATTCCCGGATGGAATGGGGCAAGTTCCAATGCCATGGCACAATCACATTTCACAGTATATGCAAAATTTTCAAGGTCCTTTCTTCCCACAGATGCATCCGTTTCCCAGTTACCTCTACCCTGGAATGCAGGTTCCCCCTTCATATTACCAGGGAAATAAAAGCTGGCCTCCAAATGAAGACTCCAGTATTTTCTCTGGTAAAGATACAGATGACCGGGCCCGTAAGTCATCGTCAAGAAATAAAAAGAAACATTCACATGAAAATATATCTGAAGATGAATCCAGCGAAGCCAGTGACACTGGCAGTGAGAGAGAATTGGACGGACATCACAGTGGCAAAAAGTACTCTTCGACAGATCAGCTGCCAAGGAAAGGACACGGAAAGAAGTCTTCGAAGAAAGTCGTCATTCGCAACATTAACTACATTACTTCCGAGAGAGATGGTAGAAGGAGTGACATATCGGAAAGTAGTTCATCTAATGAGGATGAATTTGTTAGTGAGGAGTCCCTCAGGCAGCAGGTGGAAAAGGCCGTTGGATCATTACAAAGAAGAAACAGTTCAGCATCACGTCGTCACAAGAAACGAGATTCGATGCACCACCTCAACACGAATGAACTGAACGATGCAGATCATGGAAAGAATAAGAGTGAAGAGGCAAATAACTCTGAGGGAGAGAGAAGATACGAGAGCTGGGGTGCTTTTCAGAACATCTTGATGGAGAGCAGGGAAGCTGCTGTTTCAGGTTTGGAAACACAAGCAGCACAGATTCATGAGGAAGACCTAGCAAGTAAGAAATCTTTGAAGGGGACATCATTTACATATGAACTGGAATCAGGAAGCACAAGACGACAATTTGTTGCCGCCGATCCCTTTGTAATTACTGAGAAGAATCATGTAGCTGAGGGTACGACTCACTTTGAGGAATTTGAAGCTGGTGAGAGTGTCCGGACAGTTGTGAACAGAAGGGACAGCCCATATGAGGATTTACTATATGCTAAGAAGGCTGAAGAGTCAGGGAGTTATCTCAATCAATCACTACCGGAGTCATCTGCCCTGTCCTCTATCAAGAAAATTCACGAGGAAGGAGATTGGTTTATCGGCAATCAACAGAATGGGGCGATAAATCAGCAAGATAGCATTGACCTCAAGATGGTTGAAATTGAGTCTGCTTCATCATTTGGTGCAGAGTGTTTGCACACTGAGATAAAGAAGAGGGATGTCCTAATTGACGACTCTTTCATGATTGAAGGTCGACCAGTAGTCAATGATCAATCTGAGTCTAGGCTGATGATGGATATAAACATGGTTCCTGACACTATCAATGCTAAGAACAGCACACCTGAAATTTCACAGGAGAAATTTTGTGAACCAGATGACCTTTACATGGTTCTCAATCATGATCCTGTTGCAGAGCAGGCTGTAGCATTGTGGACACCAGAACTGGATTATGGAAGTCATAGCTCGTTGGCAGAGATCATCCAAAAGCACACCGAGAATGAGTTGAATGATTCCGGTGAAAATGAACCATCATCCAATTTTACAAAGAATAAAAATGCAGAAGCAAGGTCCAGGCTTATAAATGGTTCTCTCGCGAAGAATAGGCTTGATACAATTGCAAAGGGCCGGCCAACTCCTGGAAGCAGGACAGCTGCTTCAAAGAGCAAAGCTGTGAAGGTACTTGGATCACTATGAAATTTTACGAAGCATAAAAACTTCGTATATGAACGTTTTATTTAGTCGAAACGTATATGAATGTTTACTTTGTGCATAATGATGCTAGTTTGTTGAACTGTAGCTTTTCCTCTCTGATATAGGAGTGACTCTCACTTACGAGTGAGATCACTTAAAACATTTGCTTTGCCTATAGTATTGTTCGTCTTTCACAAAAATACAACCCATATATGGATATTAGCTGGGCGTCCATGCAGATCCAGTTGAATCCTGTTCCTATTTTAACGAGATTTTTTTTTCTGGACTAGGAAGAAGAAAGTAGGAAGAGAAAGGAGGAGTTACTTGCTCAGCGTCAGAAGAGAATTGCTGAGAGAAGTGCCAACCGTGGATCTACACCAGTTGCTTCTAAGAAGAGTTCGATCGAGACTAAAGCAACCACCACACCTACCCAGCCAAGTAAGATCCGAAGTCAATCTACCCGGTCCCAATCTCAGGAGACTCCAAAGTCAAACAAGCCAGTCCTCAGGAATTCCACCATAGAGCGTCTTGCGGCTGCGCGAGCAACTCAAGAGGTTCAACCTGTGAATTCAAAACCAAGTCAACCCATCAAAGCCTCCTCGAAGATAAATAAGTCAACTCCGGCTGCCTTGTCAAAGAAACCCGCTCCTCCTGAAACTAAGAAAGCAGGTCTAAAGAAACCTGAACATTTAAACAAAAAAAATACTGTGAAAAGTTCAAATGGACAACTTCTGCCCAATTCCGACACCCAACAGAAGAAGGAAACTGCAGAAGCCAGAACGGGGTCATTGGAGTTAGTGGAAGCCGAAACGGCTCAACCTGCTCCAGCGGATGATGATTTTAAGGACATTCAGGTCGAAAACAGCAGAGAAAAATCAGTTTCTCCTAAAGGCGCATCGGATGATAGAAGTGATAATGGGAATGTGGACAGCAATAACCTGTCGGTGCCTCCTGAGCCCGACTCTGCAAAACCAAATCATTTCAAAAGTGATCATGGGCTTTCTTATGTATCATCTCCAGTTCCTGGCGAAGACATAACTGTACCTGAAGTGACTCTCCACCCCTTTCATTCTCCATCTATCGCAAGATCATTGGACAGCTCTACTAACTATACTGGCTCTGAAGCTGATGATTCCACAGTGTCCGAAAAGGCTCCAGTTTCTCACACCCCTCGGGTACATTTCGCAACCCCTCCGCGTATTAATGAGTTCACCCCCGAACCGGTACACTCGAGGAAGAAATGGAGTAGTGATGAGCATTCTCCTAAAGCTGCCAAAGGGTTCAGAAAGCTTCTATTCTTCGGACGAAAAAAAGCTTGAACTCCCCAAAACCTTTTGTGCACGGTCAAGCTTACACATTTAGTACTGCAATTCAAGGTACATGACATGTCATATTGGATTGTAAATTCTTGTGTGATCATTATTAGTCGTTGCAGGGTGGTGATTTTGGGATTCAAAGTTAGATAATTCGCATGCATAATAAGGTTGTGGCTGTTGTCCAGTTGCTTCGGAGACGAGGATTGCACATTGTAATTTATACACGTACGATATCCTTACTCAGCGAGGGATGTGAGTGGCTTATTTGCGCGTGGTGATATACAGTGAGAAGTTGTTTTATTGTCTTGTTTGTAAGTTGTGTTCTGAAACGGGGATGAAAGAAAAGAAGAAAAAAGTATGTATTCATTCTTTTATGACTTGTAATAATTATGTGGTGAAATGCATTTTGGGTTCTCTTTCAAGTAAATTTCTCATTGCCAATGATGAGTCTCTCCTGAAAGGATGCTGTCAACTTTTTTTTTTTTTTTTTGATAACCGAGGTGTCCGCCGGTTGCCATACAACTCGACTATTCTTCTAGACTAAGACAAAGAACTCCACCGCCATGGCCCCACTTAAATCACAAGTGCTTAGCTGGGGAATCGAACCTGGGACCAGTGCGCCTAACCACACAATTCTAAGTACGCCCTAACCAACTGAGCTACTCGTGGGTGGGTGGATGGATGCCGTCAACTTTATGTCCTCCAATAACTGGAAAAACCACACTTTGATCTTGGGATGCTGTACACTAATCCTCGAAGATGCATGCGAACTGTTTTATCTATATGCATCGGGTACCCTTCACTCGGTGATGAATATGTTCGATGGATATCTGAATTGCTCTCGTAGTAATGCAGATTACTTCACTTTGAATCAAATGAAAAGCAAATTTTGCAACAAAAAAAAAAAAACTAATAACTACTAGTTTTATATCTTGGGCAATCTTTTCAAGAACGATCCCGATTTTTCATAAAATGATTTTTTTCCCTCGTAACTGGTAGTTTTTGAAAGAGTTGGTAAGTAAGGTGGTCCGGCAATCTACCGATGCCTTTCTGAAATTGCAAAGTCAATTTTGACAGCTTGCAAATATATTTTGAATGCGAATATTTCTGCATGAATAATTGTTAAAGAGGTTTTGACCAAAAAAAAAAAAATTTGTTAAAGAGGTCGATCATAATGTCTATAATAAATTTGTGGAACCGGGCTCAAATGTCTTAACCATCTTGCAATGGACCAACCAAAAGGGCTTTCCGAAAAGCCCTCTCTCTTTCTTCTGTACAATGTCTTCAAGTTCCAAATCCAGACTTCAAGCCAAAAAAACACAAGTTCCAAATTCAAGCAAAGTTTGATCTCACTAATTCAGCTCCTGCGTGAAAACTAGACTTTTTGACGTCTCCTGATATTAGTTCCCTGACATGAATATCTTTCGTACTTTCTCTAAGTTCTGGTTTTTTTACGGACCCTCGACCGATCGGTCCCCGTCGTGTCCACGTTAATGGATATGGTCGTTTCCCCAATTCATCATTGGCAAATAATCTACTAAAAAGAAAGGAAAAAAAAAAAAAGACAACCTGCTCGGGATTGTGATAGTGCTGCTGTTTCCTTCACTAGTCCACTTGCTTAATTAAAACGAACATGCTCAGCATTGTTCCTCGGTGATCCTCGTGGGATTGTTAATGGTTTGGCATTATTTAACTCGATGCACAGCATGTTTTCATAGGTCATAATTCATCCTCGACCTCGCTTTAGTACACGCCGAAACAGGCTGTTCGAGAATATATCCAGGTGGCCTGTCTTCGTTGATTAATCTTACTTAAAAATGCTCTTATGGGTTCGATCTTTGCACCGATAACGAGAGCTTTTATCCCAAATGGTGAAGCTGTAAACCACATAACAGCAGATCAAGACAAGCTTAGAGCAGGTAGAGGCAAGGGAGCTATTCGGCCATGATTACCAACTTCGACCGTGTTGTGTCCCTGCCTTTGCTGGTGGGATAGCTTGTGATTATCAGCACTTCAAAGGGAATATGAAAAAGCACCTTGTGCAGAATACATAAATCTCACCGACAGAGGAAACGTATTGGCATGAACATAACATCAGATTCGAGTATATCTTAGTTGGAACAACGTGCGTGTATCATGGCTTAGAAGGTTGATAATGGGTCTGTCTCTCACACGAGGCGTGCTGACCATGCAAACGTATATAGGAGAGTATAAAACCTGCACGAGCATGGATTTAAATACTGTGTATATACTATGAGGTGCACATGAACCAAGTTTAGGTTGATGTAAGGCCCTATTTATTTAAGACAAATAGGTTAATAATTCAAGAAAGTGGTCCATTATTTTGGAGACTAAAGATATGATGAGGATCATGAGTTGCATTTCCTGTTTTGGTTCATTGGATTCTCTCTCGTCTTCTTTTCAATTGACAGAGATGATGCTGGATTCTCGTGGCCATCTTCTTGTGATGATCAAGAGATTATTTTTGTTTCTTTGTTTTTCTTGTATTGGTTAATTTAAGCACGAACTTGCTCAGATGGTTTTTTAATTCCATTACAAGGTCAACCAAAGCTACATCCCATTGACGACGCATTCACATTGAGACGTTCAATAGGAGGGAGAATCTCCAAGCCCCTAAACTAAGTTTCACTTCTTTCTGACCCTTGTACTCAGTATTGCACAAAGAAAAAATGTATCCTAAATGATGATGTTATCATTGCTTCAGTTCATCACTAATACTCGACCTCAAACTTTAATCACCTAAGCAATAATTAAAGAGGGGGCCGCGCGGTCAGAATGACAAATTTGATCGAGGAAATGAAGTTCAATAAAGACAATTGAATAATGAATGCGAGGATGATCTGAATGCCTCAACTGAATTACCGTGTCACTCATCTAACCTACATGCAAAGACTATTCTTGCTTTCGATACTTGAATGATTATAGTCTAAAGGGAGATTTCTAGTCACAATCAAAAGAAACCATAACGGTCACCTATTGCTTAGCGTTACTCGACAAGATTTCCAGTACAAAAACAATCGCTAGCCCTTTTAGACAACACATAGTACGCCGAAGGTCACCACACTTTCTTTCATCTCGTTCCTGTGTTTCTTTGATCGACAAGTACCAAATCTTCATGTGCAAGTAGGGTCAAAACCCTCGTTTCTTTTGATGGGTAACACCTCCATCTCAAGATTTCAACAACGCGTAATGAACTGGAAAGCAAATCAAGATTAACAACAATAGAAAACCTTGGCATGTTTGACTAGAAAAGTGCTCGTAAATCAAGGCCATGACTGTCCCTCCTCGATATGAATTTATCATTTCCTAACTTAGCCTAAAGTCACCTAGGTCCCCAGCAAAATTCCAACTGGCATGCCTATCTATTTTCTTGGGATACCATCAAGTCATATCAAGTAGCAACCAATCTCCTTCATCAACCTAATGGTTTAACCATATTGTATAGTCCAATCCTCCACCAATTCCATGTCATCCTTTGAGTTCAACAGGGACTTGCAGTATCTTATGCAATCGTTTATCAAACATACTTATAAAAAAAATGATTGTTGTGTGGTCCGATTGTCCAAATGGTAGCAACCACGCACGGACGCCCATAAAAATTGGTGAAGAGTTTTCTTTGTCATTATGGGAGTTAGGGCTTAGGAGAGAGTAGAGTAGGCAATTCTTTTTGTTGCAATTGGCAATTCTGCAATGTGGACTTTTGACTTTCTTTTTTTTGCCCATTTATTCTTGGTGTTGACCCCTAAAACATTTAGCTCTAGAGCACCTAGATTCTTTTATCTTTTTCTATCATAAAGTTGCTAATTACGTCTCCCAACACATGTGACCCCCAAAGGATAGTCCACATTTGGGGTACTTCTCTTGCTCTACGGTTTCTAGGCGAAAAAAGGAAAAAGAAAAAAACCCAAAAAGAAAAAAATGGAAATAATCTGATTTTTACCTAAATGATGGGGATGCTCATTCAAGTTAATTAGTCAGTCCATTTAAGTATTAAATAAGAATCCGTCATATCATTCGGTAAACTCATTTACCAAATGAGTCTTGGTATCTTCAACATTACTCTTTTTCCTAATCCTTCTCGTTGCATTCCTTATTCATTATGGGAGAGTTCTAATGGAGCATTTGTACGTGTCCTTGAGGGATCAGTTCCCGTTGTAATCACGTGTATTATATCGTAATAATTAATTTCGATACTCATGCCTAATATTCAAAATTTTTTAAAAAGAAATGTTCAATCAACATCAGAGAATCACCCGTTTGGTTCTAATGGGGGCCAAGGTCATCCCTACCTTTCTCGAGAGTCGAACTCATTAATGATGAAATTCAAAGAACAATAGAGAAGCAGTTAAAGAAGAGTGGGAAGAGGCGAGGGACATGATGAGTGCGGTTCGGTGGAAATGGTCCCCAAAAATGCAGCTGAAAGGTATAAATTGGGGAGGTGGGGTTGTCACCTTTCACTTGGCAGAACTGGGCTGGATAACAAGGGGGAACAGTAATTGAGTTTGATGTATCTTTTGTACCTTGTTTTGGCATCAGTCTTCTTGGGCTTGCTTGCTTGTGACTAGTGACTCGGTAAAAGCCCGCTTCGATTCTTACCCGACTCCTTTTTTTTTTTGGTTGAAACTTACCCGATTCGTCACTCTCTTGATGATACATCTCTTAGGGCCTATTTGGCAAATAGTAAAATTTTTTATTCTTTTGTTCTCATAATCAGTTTGGAAGCAGAAATCCGTTTGTTAAATTTTTTGTGTCCGGGCATAATTTTGCAAAAAATTGTTCCCAAAATCAGTTTTAGAACATAATCAAGAAGCAAAAAAAAGTAGTTTCTTGATTCTGGAACAATTTTTCCGTTTCTAATTCTTCTTCATTTTCTTCTTTTTTTTTTTATTTGTTGTTGTTCTTTGGCCTACCACCCGCCACCCGCCGGCCACCGGCCGCCGGCAACCGGCAGCAGGCTAGGGCCGGCGAGGGCGGCCCGCGACTGCGACGGCGAGGCCTTGCCCAGCCAAGGTGAGGCCGACCTTGCCGTCGCCACCCAAGCGACGGACCTGGGTGGCGACGGCGAGGCCGGCCTCGCCTTGGTTGGGCGAGGTCGGCCTCGCCAGATCTGGGCGAGGTCGAGTCTCGCCGGCGCCACCCAGGTTCGTCGCCTGGCGGGGGCTGCGACGCCCTCACCGGCCCTAGCCTGTGGCCGGTCACCGGCGTCGGTGATCGACCTTTGCCAAGGAAGAGAAGAAATATTAAAAAATTCAAAAATATTATTAATAAAATGAAATTTTGTGTAGTTACCAAACGCATTTCTGTTCTTTTTCTATTCTAAGAATAGAAATTTTAGGCAGTTACCAAATGCCTTCAAATGCTTAGAAATTGTTTCCGGGTACAGAATAAAAAAGAATCATTTCTGAG